CGGGTGTACCAGAATGGCGTCATTACCCATAAGGCAAAAGGGCATGTAGTATAGTACATGTTACATCGGGGGAGTCGAACGGTTGGAAAGGGCGCATCTGGTACCCAGAAGCGCCCAAAATCACAGCAGTTTTAAAGAATTGCCGTTGAGTATTTTTTCCGTTTAAAAAAAAAGTTTGACGTCGCAAACCGAGTTTTGTGATTGACGACTTACACCGTCGATATGTACATGTCGCTTCAAAGTACTCACTGAAAAAAAAAAAANAAAAAAAAAAAAAAAAAAAAAAAAAAAAAAAAAAAAAAAAAAAAAAAATTGAGATATTGTTTTAACTCAAAGCGTCATTTCTTGTCGACAAAATTTGGTTGTTTGAGTGAAAGAAACGTTGTTTTGCTATCGATCAGTTTAAGTTAAAAAGCGATAGCAAAACAACGTTTCTTTATTTCAATAATACTGACTTAAAGTCAAATCCGCACAGTTTTAACTGTAAAAAAAACTCAATTTTGTCGACAAAAAACGACGCTTTTAGTAAAAATAATATCTCAAGAATCTTTTACTTTCTCGCTCCCCTAGGGTAGAGGAAGTATTGTCACCCTGCAAGTGGGAAAAAAAGTTGAAATTTCATCATTTCTAGTTTTTCAGTGCTCCCTGGCATTCGCAATTACACGTTACTGCACTAAATTGCAAAATTATTTCAGTTTTTTTGTTATACTGTGCTACTCGGGACGGGGGCTGATCTGCCGTGCTAATAAGGAAAAACGCCGTATGAGCATTCAGACGTTGCCGTATCTCCTTCAGTAAAGCACGAATTTACTGGGAAAATTCTGAATATTTTTCTCACAATGTTTCAGATATTTTAGATTCAATCGTGAGCAAAAAATCTCTGAAAAAATGTAAGAAAAATATTCAGAATTTTCATGAATTTTGTAAATCGCGATATATGGCGCTTTAATCTCGATTTTATCGACGAAAATTGATCGCGATTTTATTGAACATATGCATAGCGATTTAATTGCCATAAATCGCAATTTTTTATTCGATAATATTGCGATAAATTGCCACCGATATAATCGAGATAATCAACCGATAAAATCGCTATTTATCGCGATCACTGCTACTCGGGACCGTCGAAATGTTTCGATTAATCCTGCTGGCAATAATATCTGCAATATAACACACATTTAAAAATTAAAACCGGATTGATAGACATCGTAATCCAACTTTATCATGTAGTACTTTGGTTGATCTGCTTTCGGGCTTCCCTCTATTAAAAGCTAAAAACGACCTCTGATGATACTCTTTTTGTCATTTCATTCGGATGTGGCTAAACGAATTTTTTTTTTATATTCAGCAATTTGTATGTTAATCATCCACGCTCACTTTAATTGGACGTATTTCTGTCAAACGGAACTATGTGCATTATGGTTTGAGCCCTGTTATGCATATATTCTCATGGGTATCAGGGCTCATGCCTTAGTGCACATAGTTCCGTTTAACAGAAATACGTCCAATTATTTCTACAGGACTAAATTCTATCTAAAAATCTGCAATGTTTGAAAAATTTATTTTTGTAAATTCACATTTTTATTTCATTCTTCAGCTTCACTTACTTAATGCGGCATCGTTTTAAAATTCGTGAAGCAGGAAGGTTTTTTTCCTCTTCCCCCTTCCCCATTCTACACTAAGCTTAATTAGAGAATGGGTCGCAGAAAGTAAAAAATCCAATCGAGAGAAAAGTTAGTTGAAGTAATTATTCCAGAGGAGCTTTTCTGAACATTTGAATTGCGTCCAGAGTCCTGGGAAGGTGTTCGAACAAAAAAGTCGTTTTCAGCGCGTTTTCGTTCACCGTTAGTAGAAACATTGCTAACGGTAGATACGGTGTATTCTGTAGGACAAAATATTACTCGAATAAACATAAACGTTTTTCAGCGCATGAACACGAAGTTCAGCGTGTTTCAGTTTCAGCCCCTATATCTAGTGTCAATGGATCCGTTCTTCTATTGCTTTGGAAATCCTGTTGGTCACGGAAGGTGTATCCAAATTTGCCGCTTGAGATTTTGAAGGAGTTTTAGCGCTCCTCCAAACTTTCGATTCAACGCATTTGACGGGATTGTACTGCCGTGCTAAGGAAGAACGCCGTATGAACCTTCAGACATCGCCACATTTACTTCAATAAAAACCTAATTTACTGAGAAAATTTTGAATATTTCTCTTCAATTTTTTCAGACAATTTATTCCGCAACTTTAATCTAAAATATCTAAAAATTTCAAGGAAAAATACGCATTGCTATTCTTTAAAATACATGTTTTATGCAGGGAAATTTGGCAACTCCCACATTCCATACGGCGTTCCTCCACAGCATGGCAGTGTGAAGCTCGGGGGTGTAAAGTGTTCCAAATTTTCAGATGAATATAACATTTTAATTTTTTTAGAAATTTACAAAATTCAGTGCAAAAACAATATTAAAATATTAACTCAGATCAGTTTTATATTTAGTAAAATATATGTGTAAAAATTTTCAATCCTGAAAATAGAAAAAAATGGGAATTATATAAACATAGTTCGAGAGAACTATTGCGACTTATTCACGACATTCTGGAATTACATGAATGAATAAAGAAATAAATAAATAAATCAAGATTTATGGAATGCCTCTCTTTCATGCTATCTCCGCGTTGGGTTCATCCACATTTCTTCGGTACGGGATGCTGCTTCTCATTTCCTTATAGTAACTATATACAATCGTGCAAATGTAGAAATTTAACGCTGAAACACCATAAGAAAGTTAAGTAAGAAAAAGACTCAGTAATAAAATTGTAAGTGTTATAATTCTTGATTACTATTACTTGAACGTATTTATGCTAATAAATACGAGCTAATCGGAAATGAGCTAAATCAAAAAGAGCTACCTCAAACCGCAGGGACACAATTTCTTTTTATTTGATTCATTCTCAGCAGGGCCGGATTTTCCTACTTGCCCCCCATGCGCCACCTGTATTTTGCCGCCCTCTTCTGATTCGTTTTGAAACATCACTAAAAACCATTAAGTGAACGTGTCAGCGAGGAAGGGGTGCATAAGACGCGTTTACTCGTGTTGGACACATCTTTTGGGAAAGCCCTGTCAACACTACTAGCAAAAGGTCACGGAACTTTGCGCGAAAGTCAAGTTTCGTATAAACCTATCTCTAATGGACAAGGCCTTCCATTCATAAGAAATGAACGAAAAAATTATGAAAGAACAAACACAAAATTTGGTTTAATGATTTTAACTTCCGCCGCCGTGACGCGTCGACCGCACCGTGTTTGGCGCACTGCGTGAAGTATTCACGCAGTCTTGTAGGCGCTATGCGTTTCACGCTGACCGCATTGTGTTTGGTGCAATGCGTGAAGTATTCATACATTAATAAGGGGTTTTTGTACTCACTTTTTCTTCCCGATGGAGATTGATGTTTTATTTTCAAGCGATGCGCATTTCGAGCTTTACGCTCATCTTCAGGCTACAAATAGAAAACTTGTACCGCAGCGCGGATACGCGTCAAACAACGAAAAACTAAAATACGAGCGCACAACCGCACATTTGTCCACTATTGCTAAAATTATTAAAACGTACATAAAAATTGGTATAAAAACAGCCGAATTACGAAACCGGACCACGATCGTGTTATCACTGTTGTGTAATCACCTGAGCTGGACGCGTGTGATTCCGCGGCGGGGCTAAGGAGGGGGGTAAAAACAGAGTTGCCACTGTGCTCTCGAGTTGGGAATTTAAGATGTTGCCTCCGGCTTTTGTTTTCTCAATTTCAAGTTGCTCCAGCAAGTTCATTTTCCTACCTTTTTTGCATTGGTGTATTAGATTGACTGAGCATTCATTACTGTGGTGGTTGGTTTCGATGAGGTGGTCACTTAGGGATGAGTGACCCATTTTCTTGAGACGTGCATTGGCGAAATGTTCATTTGTGCGTGTACGCACACTGCGCCCAGTTTGACCCACGTACTTCATCCCACATTTACAGTCCACTCTGTAGACACCACTACCTCTTAACTTATCACTGGTGATTTTCTTGAGAGAGGTAGTGGTGTCTACAGAGTGGACTGTAAATGTGGGATGAAGTACGTGGGTCAAACTGGGCGCAGTGTGCGTACACGCACAAATGAACATTTCGCCAATGCACGTCTCAAGAAAATGGGTCACTCATCCCTAAGTGACCACCTCATCGAAACCAACCACCACAGTAATGAATGCTCAGTCAATCTAATACACCAATGCAAAAAAGGTAGGAAAATGAACTTGCTGGAGCAACTTGAAATTGAGAAAACAAAAGCCGGAGGCAACATCTTAAATTCCCAACTCGAGAGCACAGTGGCAACTCTGTTTTTACCCCCCTCCTTAGCCCCGCCGCGGAATCACACGCGTCCAGCTCAGGTGATTACACAACAGTGATAACACGATCGTGGTCCGGTTTCGTAATTCGGCTGTTTTTATACCAATTTTTATGTACGTTTTAATAATTTTAGCAATAGTGGACAAATGTGCGGTTGTGCGCTCGTATTTTAGTTTTTCGTTGTTTGACGCGTATCCGCGCTGCGGTACAAGTTTTCTATTTGTAGCCTGAAGATGAGCGTAAAGCTCGAAATGCGCATCGCTTGAAAATAAAACATCAATCTCCATCGGGAAGAAAAAGTGAGTACAAAAACCCCTTATCAATCAAGCCCGATAAAATGACAAACCAAAACTTCAACTATTCATACATTCTTGTAGGCGCTATCCGTTTCACGCTGACCACAATAACCGCACTGTGTTTGATGCAATGCGTGAAGTATTCGTGCAATCTTGTAGGCGCTAATACGTGTTACATGCCGATTGCCGCGCCGAGGGCTTCTCCTTTTCATCTCAAGTCCTCGTCATCATTTCTCCCTAAGTCGCGCCGTTCCAGGCCAAATTGTGTGTTTGGTTTCTCTCTTAACTCGACTATAATTAAAGGTGCTGTCTCTTGTATCACTGAAAGACGACAAAATTAGAAATTACTATACTCTCAGGAAATGAGATATTTTGCAGCCTTTTCTCGTTTGTAATTTTTTTTCTAAATCCGATTTTTTTTATACCTACATTTAAAAAAATTGCAAAATTTGCCGCCCCCTAGATTTGCCGCCATTAGCCGCAGCCCATGTGGCCACCCCTGATATTCTCAGTTAGTTCCTTTTAGCATAAACACGTCCACTCATGTTTTTCAGTGGAGTTTCTAAAATCGTCAAACGCAATTGAACAAAATAAATAAGGAACGTAAGGATAAATAATAATCAACCAGTAATAATCAATGCAAAAGTCCTCTGTTACAAGCACATCAAGTATCGTTAGGTCGTTTCTAAATATCTATTAATTTTATTACGAATGCAACTTTTAGTCCTTTTATCAGTTTTTCAATTTTTGTCACTTGGTTTTCGTGTTCTAATAATCCTTCAATTTCTCAATTTTGAAGCCAGTATGAATTATTTTGCTGACTTGGCCAGTGGTCCGTCAGTAGTACTTGTACAATGAAAAACAAATCCTGCCATGGGGTTGTATAGACTTACCGTCCACATTATGGGCTTAGGGGCCGAAACTTCCAGAGGTATAGCACCCGGAGCAATCGAAGATACGGCTCCAGTACCCGGAACTTTCGGCCTCTGAGTCCGGAACGGACGGTAAGTCTATGTAGACCATAACTTTGTTTTCAAAGTACTGGAAGTGCTTTCTCCTCCGAGGTATGGAAAAATAAATTTATAAATTAAAATAGAATAGTTGGAAACACTCCAGATTGAACGGGAAGAGAAACTTACTGAAATTTAATATAAGTGATAAGGGGTGGTAAACTGCTTCATAAATGTCTTGATCATGATTCTTGATCGGCAGCATACGTTCCATGTCCCCTCGGAGATTAGTAAAGATGAACATTGGAAAATTAAGGAGTAGGTCGATGCCTTCAATGATAGCCGACGCTATGAATGGTGATAAAAATGTTGGTTTTTGCTGTAAAGAATTAAAAAGCAGAAGATGAAAAACTCTCACAAATTAAAAATTGCTGCCGTTATAGCGAAGATAGCAGTGACTGTCAACTTTTCGAAATCGAGTTTTCTTCAATATTCGTCTAATCTCTTTCAGATGAAATGACTGAAATGTCTAAAACAGCACAATTCATATTATTTTCATGAAAACGAGACATGTGAGGTAGCCGTAAGTGCTCAAAAAATTTCGTAGTTTCAGGCAAAACATCCGTAAGTGTCATTATTCCTCCAGAGAGCCAATGAGAGCAGTCTTTTCAAGTAAAATTCAGCCCACTTCTGCCAATTTCTAACCTGAAAATATTTTATTTTTTATTTTATTCTTGCAGTTTATTTGGCTTCTATTCCAGTTTCGGAAACTACAGCCATCTTTTTAGACAAGAAAATCTGAAAATGTGTTTTTTGTGTGTCCAAAACGCTATCACGAAAGCATGTAGAATTTAGCACTTACGGCTGTCTTGCCTAACAGTAACCTAGCACGAAAATAAAAAATACCCTTTTTATGTAATTGAAATAAAATCGGTTGATTTTCAATCATCCAAACGATTTCTAGGAGTCTTAATTCCGGATGATAAGTGGCAATTTGAGAAATAACGGAGGCTTATTTCAATAAAATTTTCCGTCCAGACGCTTATGAACCCGTTTTCTCAAAACTCCATTTTTGCACTTGCTCCCTTCGCTATCACGACAGATTCGAGGACGTAGAACAACTCGTGGCTATAAACTTCTCCGCGAAAGGGGCACTCAAGTTGGGTTTAAGTTTTTATGACCAACCGACCCAGAGACAAGCGACCCTCCAATGAACTCTTGGGGATAGGTGGAAGCTTTTACTTTCGGGGATTCAACACTTATTTCTCATGGACAATTCCAAGGGAGCAACAGTCATCTTACCTACTATGTGGATGATGAGCTTTGGGTGACATCATGAGCCAAACAAGCTTCCCACACTTCGGTTTGTTTCAGTGGCGTGGCGTGCTATTCGATATATCGATTATTCTGCCATTTAAATCTATGGAAAAAGATCGATTAATAGGGTGTTCGCAGCGAACACCTTAATAGTCAATTCTTTGCCATAGGTTTAAATGGCATATCAATCGATATATCGCAATTCACGCCACGCCACTGGTATGTGTATGTATGAGCCGCTTTTACGGCGCGCTAGGGCGCTCTGCGACGCCTATTTTCCACATGAATCTGTCATGGTAGAGATCCTCCGGAAGCTGGCATCTCTCCATCTCTTCATGGATGCCCTCTACCCACCGTTTGGCTAGACGCCCTCTCCGTCGCCTACCTGGGGGGACCCACTCCAACACCTTCTTCGGCAACCTGGTATCAGCCACTCTCTGCACATGCCCATATCATACCAATTGCTTGGTCATGATATCGTGCACAATCGTCCCCTCAACGCCCATTATCTCTCGGACACGTTCATTCCTGACACGTTCTCTCCTCTAGATTCCAGCCGATCTTCGCCAGAAATCCATCTCGGTCGCCTTGAGCATTTCTTGGGTCCGCTTCTTCAACTGCCACACTTCACTGCCATAGGTGATAATAGGCTTGACAACCGAGTTATAAATCCTCTTCTTGTTGTCTTTGGAAATCCTTTGGTCCCAAAGTATCCCATTAAGCATGGCGATGGCTTTCCTTCCTAGAAGATTACGGTCCCGAATGGCCTGATCCAGCTTCCCATCCGAAGTCAGCTTCACCCCCAGGTACTTGTATTGTTCGCAACTTTCTATATGTTGACCATCCTCCAGGACAATGCTTTGCTGAGCACCTCCGACTGACATCTTTTTTGTCTTACGGACACTAACCTCGAGGCCCCACTTGCGGTACTCCTCCACCAACTTCCGGGTCATATACTCCGCGTCATCGTGATCTTGACTGATGACTACCTGGTCGTCAGCAAAGCATAGCGTGAACAGTGTTTCTTGGTCATTCAGAGGGACGCCCATGCCGGCACACTTTCTTTTCCATTCCTTCAGTACGCGCTCTAGATATATCTTAAATAGCGTCGGTGACAGACAACATCCCTGCTTCAGTCCCTTGGTGACAAAAAAACCGTCTGGAAGCCTTCCTTGGCACTTGATTCTAGCAAAAGCCCCCCGATAAAACTGCTTGACTGGTTTGTTTGCAAAACGAAACTCCCAACACGCTATTAAGATGATTCGATGGACGCCATATTTTGTGTCAAAACGACATGCGATATTTTGCATCGATTGGTTCCATTTTTTCAGCTACTTGTCATTTTTTTAGAATTTTGAGATTGCAATTCTGTTGTCAGGAGACTAATGAATTCGCTTACCAATTTTGACTAAATTTAACGTAATGTAGGCATGGTTTTTGTAGAGAGAAAATATCGCATTCAAGTGCAATTTCGATATCGGTATCAAATGCGATATATTTCCTCTAAAAAAACCACGCCTATATTACGTTGAATTCGTTCGTCAAAATGGGTAAGCGAATTCATTAGTCTCCCGACAACAGAATTGCGATCTCAAAATTCGAAACAAATGACAAGTATGTGAGAAAATGGAACTAATCAATGCAATACATCGCATGTCGTTCTGACACAAAATATGGCATCCATAGAACCACCTTCACCATCAACTTAGTAGACAGGTCATACACAGAGCCAAGAGACCCTGCACTAGTATCTTGGCCATTATGGAAGCTTTTACATTCGGGACTTCAGCATTCCACTGTTGACTTACCTACATGATTGATGTTTAAAAACGTGTTGGCAGTTTCGTTTTGCAAACAAGTCGAAAATGGCTGAAGTTTGTGAAACTTGTTTGGCTCGTGACGTCACCCGAAGCTCATCATCAAACTTAGTTTCATATCAATTTTCTTCATAAGTGCACTCCCTTTGACATGATGTATATACCTAATTAATCATCCACTTGGTAACTCTTTTCTGTAAATTTTCATTCGGTATAAGTACGTCAAAAGATCAATATTTGGACTGTGCATCCATAATTGAACCATGGGTAAATGCTTTAAATTAAAAGGAACTAAAAAGAGCGCAAGCCCTATATATAGCTCCCTCTTTTTATTTAATTCCTTTCGGAACTAATACGTACATTTGGACGTACATATATTTCTGCCGAACTATGTACAATTGAACATGAGCCCTGAGACCCATATGAATATAGGTGTGCATGATAGGGCTCACGTCATAATGCACATAGTTCCGTTTGGCAGAAATACGTCTAATTAAGGATGTACCTACCTTATACACCCCAAATAAAAGCATGAGAGCAGCAATGGACCACTAGACAAGGTACGAATTTAAGCAATCTGATACATGTTTCTTAATCAGAATTTCACGTAGAACACGATTTGCGCAACGAAAATTACTGAAACCAACTCTTAACGAAGATATTAACGTTTTTATTTCACATTGGTTATAAGGAATTTGAACTGCCCGCTCACGAGAAACTCAAAGCTCTACGTGAGTCAAATCGCGCACTACAACGGTTTCCGCAAACATTCTCAATCGAGCAATGTTCAGTTTCCACCATGTGTTGTTCAAACTATGAGCAATTTGCTACAGCTGAGCCAAAGCGTCAAGATCGACGTTGCCAGATTTTTATATCGCAAAGACTGTCAAGATAACGTTTAGCGCGCGATGTGAATCACGTAGAGCATTGAGTTTTCATGAGCGGATGGTTTGAATTCACGCATCAAGAATCATTAAATATCTTCGTAAAGAGTTGATTTCGATAATTTTCGTTGCGTGAATCGTGTTTTACGTGAAATTTTGGTTGGGAAACATGTATCAGAATACTGAAATTCGCACCTTGTCTAGTGGTCCATTGTGCCCAAATCCCCTAATATGAATTCCTTTATCATAATGACTACTGCTATTTGCTCTCCTGAAACATTAAGAAAGAAAAAAGTTTAGGCGGAAAAATATAAGCTTTAAAACGACTAAAATCATGCTTGTAAAAGAGTTGACGAGAATGTGCGCGTATCAGGAGAGGTTTACTTACATTTCTTTCTGGGCAAACCTGATCGCCGCACAGTGGAACAAGCTAGTAGAAGAGGTCTGACATGAAATTTAGGGCTGAAATTTCAAGTTTTGACGTTCATTTTGCGACATTATCAATTCCACAGGGCGTTGCTGAAAGGAAGTTTCATGATAAAACCAATGAAACCGCTCTCAAACTTTCTAATTTTATATTATCAAAGATATACTTTCAAAGTTTCCAAATGTCGTCCGACTTTTCCTATTTTCTAGTTCCTTTGTGCGCCGACCACGAGGAAAAAAGGCCCACGCCACGGGGACAGGGAATATAAAAATGCGTGATGTGGACTCCACAAATTGTGCGTTTAAGAAAAGCCTCCGGACTTTTCAAATTTTTGAGCTGGTTTTCCTTTAAAATACCATTTATTAATCTGCATCTCTTGTCTCTGACAGATAAAGTGTGCCCTAAAAATTAATCGCCATGGCCTCTTGATCATGAGCAAAAATGTGAAAGGTTAGTATGTTAAAAGTCTCGGAGTAAAATTGGGATGAAATTCAGCACGGAGCCAATATTTTGCCCCCCCCCCCCCCCGAATGATACAAGTGCTGAACGAATTTCATTCCTTTTGGGGAGGAAATTCTGCTATAACGGGACGGGTTTCCCTTAAATTCATAGCATTCGGTTTTATTGGGGGATAATTGTCTTCGGGAGGGAAATTCTTTTCGGATTCCACTCCAAGATTCCTGACAGCGAACACAAAAAAATTATTTTTAACAACCATATTGAAAGAGTGGTTATCTAGATAATTGTAAGTAAGACCAATTTTTTCTTTTCAAATACCTCCATGAATAAACTAGAGGATACTGGTACATACCAGACGGTAACTTACTCTGAGGTACAAGCTTTAGATGTTTTGAGGATAAACTAACCTGTACTTTCAATGCTGTGATATCCGCTGATGAATTTGATCGTATTCGGTAATCCAATTGGAAAATCAAGCACTCCTATAGCCTGGGAAGCAAACAAAAACACGTGATTTCAGTTTTATTTTATTAATATCTGCTTCGTTTTCTCTAAAAGAATTAATTTTTTGTTAGACTCACTAACTTTGTGTGATATTTCATATTGTCTAGTGGTCCATTAAAACTTTTCACAGAAAAGGTAGTTCCACAGGGGGAGAATGTGAATTATCGTGCTCTTGTGAGCGTAGACGGTATACTTGGTTCACAACCACGAGAAAAGGTTTTTCATTTTGAGGGGGCAAAGTTTTCAAAGGGTCATTTTGTTTAATTGGATCGAAAGTTGGATGTTGAGATTTCGATGGAAAACTCTTTATAATCGTCATTTCCCGCGGACGAAAGAATTTAACTGTAGTTTAACTATCGGTCCATTGTGCTCAGCCAGAACTTCGCGATATCAAAGCTAAAGCACAAAAGAAACTCTCATCCTGTGCCTGCATGAAACTATTCGTGCCTAGCAGTTATCATTGCAGTATATACGAATAATTGAAGGCGATATATCTGTCATTTTAAATCCTCGCAGTGAGGCCCACCGTTGCGTGCGGGCCGCGGATGAATAGTGAATGCCTCCATAGTGAAAACGCCTTCAATTCCGTGTGTATGCAACCCGGACATCCGTGAAGATCGAATAGTTGCATCTAGGCGTTATAATGAAATTCGCTTAGTGTTCGTCGCATGCGATACTGACTGGGAGCGCTATGCTTGTTTCGCCTTGTAACTTCCAGCGCTGCCTATTGTGCCAATGAAGTAAATTAATACTGATTTTTAGTGCGGATTTGTCAATTTTAAGAATTTGCTTTGATTTGCCGTCCTAAAATGTGGGCTGGGGCTACGGCCCTTACCTTTTCTCATCTAAGAACGACAAGAGCGGCGAAGTTGGAAAATCGGTCAGATAGATTTCAAGATCTCATTGGTACAAAGAATCACTTCTTTTTCAAATGGATAGACTAACGCCAACTCAAGAGAGACCCCGTAGTTGGTCATTTTCTCTACACTTAATAACCCGTTTCAGCCAATAGGATCACTCCATTTTCCCTTCGTCTCATTCTTCTGTCCCTTTGTCTACCGATTTCAATAATCAGCCCACTGCTCCTTACAGATTTATACTAACTGCATATAATACATACTGAATTATAAAATCCCTTGTAGCAAAGGGTTCTATTCAGGAGAAGGAGCCAGCTCATTAAATTCGTCACAGTCACGGTATTTAAGTGGTAGAATGAAAGTAGAATGCTGGTAGCACTGGATCAAGAGCACAGCTGTCATCGGTTGGACCCTCATTGACCCTCTCTTGCGATTCTGCTATTCGAACTCGAATTGCATGCTCCCGATCGCGTGCAGTTGGGGCCTGAGTCCGTCCCGGACCCCCCTCCGATTTGTATTGTCTCGCTCTTTACCTGAGGTCCTGTCGGTAGTTTTGCATCGGATGAAACTGAAGGAGATTCTTCGGGGATGAAAAACTCTCCAAGACAGGGCACAGGATTTTAAATTAAAACCAATCAACTTTTTACGGAAATAGTTCATAGGTACTTTTTCCTTTGATATATTTCCGGGTTAAAAAAAAATTGATCTCTCGAAAAGTAGCAAAACGTGAGACGTTAGAATATCATTAAAACAGCTGTGACCAGAATATTTAACTATATTTATATCTATTCCTGCAGTTTGATACCACTTGGATTAAAAAAAGATTCCTGTCTCTGACTAATTTTAAATACAAGTTTGTGTTATTTTTCGCTATATTCAGATAGGTGATGTTTTGATTCAGCTAAAATGGGAGTTCTTCACCGCTTATTTACATACCGTATTTTACCGCACAAACCCACTTTGCCCGCGTCCAGGGGCCCAAATACCTCAGTATTTTGTTTCTTCTTTAATCTACTCTCGGTGTTAACTTTTCAACCATTTTTGGACACAGTATTTTTCCTTTTCAAATTTGTCGATAACATCATCAGAGAAGGCCAGAATACTCCCGTTGCCGAAAAAGCACATTGACGATATCATTACAGAAGTCTGTAGGTCATTCTCGTCAACGCTGCACATATGGTAATTTCTGGTCATTATGGTCATTTTTGGACATTCCTATATGTTTAAAATACTTGCTTATGCTTGATAATGATTCAATCAGAACGCAGCGAGAGACAAAGAGACAAAAATTTCATTACATTTTTTTAATATGGTCAGAAGAAAAATTTGACCATTTTTTGTAAAATAATCATGACCCTGATTCAATTATCGTAGGGAAGAATTTGTAAATTTACCATATTATAAACACTTTCGAGTAAAAATATAGGAATCACTTTACTTAAGGCGCAGTGTAAAGATGCATTTTTTCTTAAGTGTATCCCATTATTTGAAGCAAACAGAATTACATCTAGGAATCAGTGGATTTACGGAAAAATGTGGATTTACTGACGTTTGAGGTATCTCAGGAGTGTTAGGTGTGGTGTCATGTAGTTGTGATTGAACCACTAACGAAGAGCCCGGCCGCATGACAAATTACATGCAGCTCAGAGAAAACAAGTGTGAACGTAAGCGTGGGAGGGAGGGTTAAGGGTACGGAGGATTTAGAAAGTCCGAGGCTCCGAGGGGTTTAAAGGAGACCATACATCTCGGCCCAGGCAAAAAGGACACTTTGCTCATCGCCAAGGAGCATAAATTAGACCCTTGGCTTGTTTTTTAGCGGCTCTGGTGCTTGCACTAGAGCTGCTATTCCGGACGGTCCCAGCTGGGGAGTATCAACGGACCATGTTACATTGGAGAGACCGCGTGTTGGTTGATGGGAATCGGCGCCATTTTCTGCTGTTTAGGGGGGACTGATTTTATTTTAATTGATATCTTTTTCCTGTGAGCGAATGCTGTGTTGTGTAGTGTATTTTTGGAATCATGGTGATACTGTCAATAATTCAAAACGGGTCTGTGCTTTAATCTCGCACTGGAAAAAATGTACTTTACGTTTAAAATTTGAAAATTCAAATCTATAAATTTTCGCGCTTTTTTCGAAGAATGCCGTGGTTGGAGCTTCCTAGTCATACTACTCGACATCAGCTGATAGCAAACAAAGGTTACCAAGGAAACCGTAAACGCGGAACAACTACCTACCGTCGCCAGAGCCGCTTTCCGACGCGAATGCGTTGGAGCTTCCTGCTTGTTTTTTTTTTTTTTTTTTGTTTCGTTTTAACAAAGGAGCACCAGTTCACGATGTGAGTATGAAAGAAACGTAGTATCTTTTTCACCATTAACCCCCGATGATATGCTGAAACACTTCTTTTATTAAACCTATAAGTTAAAATGTGCAACAGGGCAAAGGCTCATCCCTCAATTGGACGTATTCGAATAAAGAGGAACAAAGTATTTCCATTATGACCCAGACGCTGTGCCTTATAGGTCCTGTCGTCATTTTACTTCTTAAGAATGAATTATCATGATACAGTAAACAAACTTCTTTGAGGTGGAATTGGGTGGATTTAACCGGAATCAACATACTACATGAAATGTGTTTCCTGATTGACTCTCATTTTGTCATGGGAACGGAGTTCCCCATGATATTACAATCGTTCCGTTGCTATCGCTATGGGATTCCCTATGCTTCTGCGACCTTGAGCGTTTCGCCCAGTCTTCGATTTTTGGTTGATTTTCCGATGTATCAAAAACCGTTGTATTTTTTAGCCAATCATGTCTCTACGTCAAGTTGTGTTGATTTCTAAAATTCGCTTTCAGCGAGTTTTTTCCACCTTGAGATGTCGTGTCTGACTGGTAAATCTGCGCAGAACCACGAAGTTCCGATTTTGGGCAAATTCTTTTTTTTGGGAGGTTCCGATTGGTTATTTTTCGCCATCAGTTTTCTGTTCGTTGGTGCGAAAGATCGCCTACCTCGGTGCTCTTGAGAAGCCGCCATTATCCCACCTCAAATTTGACAAATAGAAATAAAGACATAATAACCATCGTACAAGGTGGAAAATTGTTCTGGAGGACTCGTTACGGACAAAGAAGTCAAAATCAGAGCTTGATTGATTGATTTAATTCATGGATACGCAAATATTGCCTTAGCTCAACTGCCGCGATCGGAATGCATGCTGGGATGAACCTCGAGACACATTAAAACAGTGCGAACCATGGCTCCTACAGCAATGCGCTTAGATCATTTCTGTCTTATCCCAGAAGCAGAAGCTACAAAGCGTCTCAAGGACAACTCTTGTGATAAGTCCCGCCCATCGTCCGAGTCTTTTAAATGCTATTTTACTGTAGCGCACGTCGATCCGTCATAGCCTAGTTGACTAAACCGCCTCATATTTTTGATTAGGTGCGGGCAATAGGCGATCGGGAGTTCGATACCCGTCGATGGGTGTTACTTTTTAATGGTTGTATTGAATGTTTTAGACTAATCATCAAAAAATAATTAATACCAGATGATAAATGTACGAACATTTTCTCGTGAGTTAATATGTTAAACAAAAATACTGGAATATACCTCCTTCATATAATCAGCCACATGTTCCCCCAAATAAATGACGTTATTTTCTTTTTTCAATAAAGTTAATTTGCATTCAACGTTCGTAAGTTAAGCAAAAAGTACCTATTGATACAAATAGAGAGACATGAAAATAGTATGTCTAACATTATTTCAGTTGTTTTTTTTAATTTATTTTTTGTTTTTTTGTTTCTTCAATAAAACAAATTGACTGGGACTAGAATCATTGTATCTCTTCTGAAGACAAAAGCTAAGTTTATTGATACAGAAATACTAATATATTCATCCTTTATATAATCAGGGAGATGTTGACCCAAATTTTGATGTATATTTTCTCTGTTCGCCCAAATTAATGATGGTATTTTCTTTTTTCAATAAAATTAATTTACATTCCACGTTCTTAAAGAAATATTTTCTCCAAAATTCAGCAAAAAATAACAATTTATACCTACGCAAAAAGTAAATAAATAAATAAAGCAATGACATGAAAGTAGTATAGGTAGTACACATCTAACATTTCAGTT